TCCACAGACTGTCAAAAGCACAAGCAGAGCTATCTCGGCGGAAATGTGATCGGCGCTCGTTGCAGGCAGGGTCAGTGAAGCTCCGTCGTACATGGTCTGGGCACATCATCAGAGGGGCCAGTGCTTGGCAAGATCTATCTGGCTAGGAGAGGTGGACCCTCAACGAGGGGGGTAGACGGCGGGCTCACGCAGGTCAGAGGCCATGGGGATGGCACAGCACACGGCAGGGATCTGGCCTGTTGGCCACACGGTCACTGTGTGTCCAAGGTGGCTCGATGCCTCCCAACAACAAAACACAGTCCCTTCGGTGGACCGCAAGCCCCTCACGTGCGTTGTTCCGCTCTGGCGTTTGGTGGGTGTTTGTTACACAGAGTGACAGCCAGGCAAGCAGGCCACATAGTCCACCTCACCCCGACTCAGAGGGTCAGAACCGGGCACTTGGAGGGCCTGCTTCAGGCCCTGTCATTGGTGGAGAAGGGACATTCCTCTGACCCCAGCCACACGGAGGACGCCCGGACCACGTCAGTCACGCCTTAGGCCCAAGCTGAATTCATCCCCACTTTCAGTCAAACAGCAGGTGGGTCTGTGAGGTGCAGCAGACCACCAGGGAGAGGTGAACGCCTTGGGACAAGAACTGTTTGAGCCCAAAGGGCTGAGTTCACAAGGCAGGAAGAGAAAAGGGAAGTCGAGGTGGGAGAGGGGAGAGCTCCGTGACACTGTCGGCCTTGCAGCCGGTGCCACCAGACAAGATGAGTGCGGTCAGGGAATGGAGAACCGATCTGTTTCTTAGGCACCTTTGCCCAGTTCACAACAAAAAGCCTGCGGCTTCCAGGTCAGGGCATCAGGTCAAGGTCAGCATTGAGGCTTAGAGGAACAGAAAGGCGCCGGGCCTGCTGAAAGCTCTGCGTTTCTGAGGGAGACTGGTCTTGCACACCCCCACCCCTGCCCAGCTCCTGGTGGCCCCAGCATTCCTTGGCTAGTCACCACCTTGCACATGACGTATTTCCTGTATCTGTCTGTCTGTCTCTGTCAGACTGGACAGGACTCACCCTTGTGTGGTGTGACCTCTTCGGGCATCTTCAGAGATGATATTTCCAGATGAAGTCACCTTTCCCGGTAGTAGAATCAGGGCTTAATAAAGTCATGGGGAACATAGTGTAACCCCAACAGAGGGATTGTCCCAACTGGCTGCCCTCCTCTGGGAGCGTCCATCAGAGGCCCAGCCTGGGGTCCATGTCAGCCAGTACGGTCACACACTAAACCAGCTCAGTGCCATCCCTCACCGCTGCCACGTCTGACCTCTTCCCTCCAGAAATCCCTGTCCCCTGCTGTCACTCTCTCCCGCCCACAGGCCATTCCTTCTCAGTCTCTAGGGGGCTCCCCCTCATTCCTGGACCTCTCTACACTGGACGATCTAGGGCTCAATTCTCGAGCCTCTTCAGATTTCTGTATTTTGCCCTTGATGATTTCTTCCAATCTTGTTATTTAAATGCCACCGGTGAGGATTCCTGGTGATTGATTCCAAAGGTGAGCAATTCAAACTCACCAACTCAGCTCACCACTTGGCCACAGAGTTTCTGTTCCCACCAACTCAGATTCACAGTCCAGCTTGGACATCCTCACTGAACCGTGACTCACTCCAGGCTGCCATACGTGTGTATGGGCTGCAGATACCTCATCCTGCCCGCCACCCCCCAGAACAGAGCTCCCGGGGCTCCAAGCCCCTTCCACACGTGCTTGCCGTCTCAGCCAATAGCAATGCATCCTCTCTACCGCCTGGCCAGGCCCCAATTCTGCACTGCCCTCTCACCGCATATCATATGCACATGGGAGGTGGACAGTGGAAAAGGTGGACAGAAGAACAGTTGCTGAATTTTGAACTGTGATACTAGTGAAGAACCTTGACTGCGTCATAGAATTCCACAAGAACAAGTTCTTAGGAAGAACAAAGGGCCTCTCAGTCGTCTGGCTGCTGGAACAGAAGGACAGTGAGTGGCTTTAACGGATTCGTTCTGTCACAGTTGCGGAGGCTGGGAGTCTGGATCCAGGCTCCGGCACTAGGGAAGGCTGCCTGCTCTGCTGTCTTCACAGCTTGCTGCCTCTCTTGTCCATCTCTGCTCTCTGACGGGCTGTTTAATCCCTTTCCAAAGAAGGTTCAAGACACTTGCTGCACTGAAGGTGTCTCATTAGCATAACAAAGCCAGCTTGTTTCCAAATGGGGTTATGAACACAAGCACAGAGGTTAGGATTTAGGACACACTTTTATTAGGAAGCTAAACAGCAGGCTGGCAATTCAAGTCCCCTGAGGAGCCTGTAAGTACAGGCTGGGCGCCCCGCTCTCCTGTGGTACACGGTCACCTCCAGGGAACGTGATTCCCTGGGGACCATCATCTAGCCCCTTTCTCTAGACCTGGCCAGGCTGGGGTTTTGTCCAGCCTGCCCTGTCGCCTGATCAGAGGACAGTGCTCAGTGACTAAGCGGAGGATACGTTGATGGATAAGTGGGCGAAACGCTGGAGGCTTGGGCCCAGGGGGCCCGGCTTCAGTGTCTAACTTCCTCTCCCCTTCTGACCCTCTAGGGAGACCCCAGCCTGTCTCGGCCTCTGATTTCCCATCTGGGGTTCAGGGCTGGCCCCCACCCCTTCTAGAGATCAGGGCTGGGTTGCCCTTCTGCACAGAGTTTGGTCCTGGGTCCTCTCCGGAACCCTGCCCACCATAAAGAAAGTACCGGGTCAGGGAGAAGGTCCGCAGCGCCTGGGCCCCTTCTTGGCCTGTTCTTTCTTGAGCACTACAATGCCCACCCTTTGAGCCTATCTTTCCAAACAGAAGTGCTTTGGGGAAGACATGAGTTTCTCCAACAACTCCTGCCACTGACCCAGACTCCCCAATCCTCTGCAACGGTCCACTGCTCCCCCTTCCTGGGACTCATCAGAGCAGGTGTAGGGCTCTGGGCCAGTCTCCCCAAACCTCAGGTCCAGTCTGGGCCCTGGGGGGGGGTGTCTCTGCTCTGTCACAGGCGGTGCAGGGCATGTGAACCCTGCCCCACGGCCTCCATCAAATGTGGGCAGTGCTAGGAGTGATTCTGCTGCCTTAGTGCTGAGGAACTGAGCTGGCAGCACAAAGGTATGTGGTCCGAATCCCCCAGCTGCTCTGCAGGAGAAAGATGGGTGTTTCCTCCTGTGAGATCACTACCTCTGAACACCTGCTGGAGGGTCAGCAATGGGAACCTTGCGACTCGATGGCACAGGATAGCAACAGAGGTCAGTCTCTGAAACAACAGCTATGCGTGTTATGGACAGAGTGCAGGTTGTTGGCTCCCCAAGGCAGGGATGGAAGCAGGTCCCCAGAGTCTGTGGGCTGGGCTCTGGAGGGAGCCCTGAACCCTGGTCCAGCCTGGAGTTGAAGCCTGGCAGGGGAGCTGGGAAGTGACTGCCCCCAAACTACCATGCCAGTAAGCGGCTGCCGGTGGAGAGTCTGGAGGGTGGGGGTAGGTGGTGTTTCCCCACTCTGGACCAGAGGGGGCCTTCAGAGGCTCCCTGTCCTCCTTGGGAAAGTCCATTAGCCAGCTCTGCTTCACCAGTTCACCCCCTCCCCAGGCAGCCGCCTTTCATCAACAATCAGACCTGCCTCCGGTCTCACCCTCCGCACTGTGGGCTTCCCCTAAAGGCTCTTGTGGTAGATCACCTGGAAGTGTCTCCCACACGTCTAGTCTGAACGCTGTGTTCCCTGTGGGGCATGCTAGACAGAGTACAGGATCCCAGATACTACCTCGGTTCCCTTTCCCCACAGCCGGCCAAACTGCCCATCCAGGGCCCTGCTGACCCTTCCTAGACACAGGCCCTGCAAGGGCAGTGACCACATCAGATAGAAGTCACGGCTTGTGCTGTGCATGGCCCTGGGTCGAAGCAGGGGGCACATATGCCCACCTTGTTGCTCTGGACTGCAGACCTCACTCACACCCCGTTAACCTGATGGATGTGAAGGCTGAGACTGGCCTGAGCTACGGAAGTGACAGGAATTCCCAGGCTCCCTGCAGACCAAAGAGACCTGGTGGAGTGGTCATTACATCTTGGAGCACCGAGAGAGCTGAGGTTCATATCAGTGGCTCCGAAGGAGAAAGATTCCTCTCCTGTAAAGGCTTACAGCCTCAGAATCAGAGGGGGCACCACCCACTGTCAGGCAGAGACTATTTGAGACCATGGGGCTTCCTTCCTTCTGGTTTTGCTGCAAGTGGGGTTTCAGTTGACTCATCTGTGAAATGGGGCAAGGGTCCATCCAACTCGGGGAGGGTGGGGGACAGAAGGGGTGAGAGGAGCTTGCTGCCACATGGGCCCCTGTCCAGGCCCTTTCCTCAGAGATGTGTGCCCCTCCTACCCCCTGGGAGCCAAGCCTGGCTCAGGCCCTGGCACTAGTCTGGGTGTGCAGGCATGAGTGACTTGTGAGGCCGGGCGCAGCCTGAGACGGTGGTGTCCTGAGAGCAGGCCCTGCCCAGTTGCAGAGCCTTCCACAAGCTCCCCATCCATGGGCCTGAGTGTCTGGGGGGGCGGGGAGAACAGGCACTCGGAGGACTAGGTGTGGGGTAGGTGACACTTCGGGGCCGAGCAATCCCGGCTCCACCAGGAGGAAGAGGGAGGTGAGGGCCAGCAGCGCGCCCAGCGGAGGGGGGCGGTCCAGTCTCGGTCACCTTGTGCTCCCGCCCCGCCCCCCCTCCAGTTCACAGCCGCCGGGCGGGGTGTGGTCGGGCACGACGGGGGGCGTGGTCTGGCATGGCGGGGCGTGGTTTGTAGTGTCCGGGGCGTGGTCTTGGTGCGGCGGGAGCTCACATTGGACAGGGGCGCGCCTGTCCCCGCCCCAGCGTACGCCGCCGCGGCCCACGTGACCGGCCCGGCGCAAACAAGCCAGTCAGCTGACTCGCGGACTGCGCTGTCATCGCGGCTATAAGCGCGGCCTCCGCTCGCCGCTCGGACCCGCGCTGCCGCCGCTGCCTCCGCCGCCGCCACCATGCAGCCCTCCTGCCTGCTGCTGCTCGTCCTCGGCCTGCTGTGTGGCCCCAGCACGGCGCTCATCAGGTCAGCCTGGTCGGCCGGGCCCGGGTGCTGGCCTCGCGCCCTCGCCCCGCCCCGCCGGGATGCCTCGCGCGCCCTTCGCCTCGCGCCCGGCCAGGGTCCTGCAGGGCGTGCGGACCCCCGCGCGCCGGGAGCTCGAGGTTGCGGGGCGCCTGCCCCCCGAGTCCCCGCGGGCCGGGTTGGCCCAGCCTCCCAGAGGCCCTGGTCCCGGGCTTGGGGGGGGAGGAGGCGGTGACACGTTTGAGCCAGGTCTGCTCAGGGTACATGTGTGGCAGGCTCAGGGCCCCGCTCCTGTATTTTCCTGTCTTGGGGGCATCTGTGAACCGGTATGGCAGCTTGCGGCAGGCAGCTCCATGGGCTGGGGGACATGTGGGGGCCAATGCAGGTGCCAAGGCACCCCTCGATGCTGGGTGGCCCCGACAGGACTCGCGGAGGCACTGGGGAAGGGTGAGTGTCGGCCCATACCTCAGTCAGGATCCCCGCTCAGGGTCTGCCCCCCAGGAGACTGCCTGCTCTAATCCAGGCCACTCTGACCCAGGGGGGAAGCTGCCTGCCAGCTTGGGCCAGGGGCTGACCCTGACAGTAGATCCTGGGCTAAAGAATCCTCCTGCCCCCTGCCCCAGGGCAGCCTCTGGATGTGGCCAGTGTCAGGAGTACACCCTGTTCTGCCCTGCCCCCACCCTCCCTCTGGGCCTTGTGGCCTCCACATTCTCCACCTGGCAAGTCGTGGGCAGTGGGTGAGCCTGGAGAAGCTGGAGAGCTGGTCTGGCCGGCTAAGGGCCGCGGCCTGCATGGGCTCCCAGTGCCAGCAGCCAGGGATGCGCTGGTCCCACGGAGGTGACTGAGCCTGCCCTGACCGGCTAGCTGGCCCACCCACACCCACAGCAGCCCCTCCAGGAAGTAGGGGATGAAGGTGCGGAGTACCAGAGGGTGTGTCCTGCCCTCAGGGGAGAGCCTTTTCTTGGGCAAGAATCCCATTGTCCCAGACAACTCCCTCAGCATGCTAAGACAGCTGTGGTGACCTTGGTTGCCTTGCCAATCCCTAGGACTGGCACATGGCATACCTCCAGCCGCTCCTTCCTGGGCCTGATGGGGCAGAACAGCCTCAGACAGCCCAGGGTGGACCCTGGACCCCTGTTATCAGCTGATGGGGCCACATGTGGGCCAGCTCCTGCTGTACTGGGGCAAGTCTCCCCCAGAGTGTACTCCAGTGGAGTGCTGTGCCTGCTACCTCTGTTAGGAGGATGGTGGGCTCCAGGACTGGGTGGGGGGGCTGGTGAGTTGCTTGGGTGCCGTGAGGGCCCTGGGTAGCTGAGGGCTGCAGGAGGTGATGCTGGAGGTCCTGCTGGCAAGGACCAGGCTTCCTGCGGGGGGCATCTTTTCACCGGAGAGCTCGGCTGCCATGGAGTCATGGGGAGCGGCAGCAGTTCCCTGCCAGTGGGGCCTTGGCGGGCTTGGGTGGAGGCAGGGCCTCGCTGTGCTCCAGAGGACAACTTCCTGGCTCTCCTCACTCAGGACACAAGGCTGGAGCGGCCGGGGAGCAGGCTCCCGTGACTGGGCGTCCCTGGGTGCTGGGCCGGTTGAGGTCTGGTGATCCCCCGAAAGTCAGCCCTTAAAAGCCTGCGGAGCCCGCATGCCCGCAGGGGCTTGTAAGTCAGGGTCAGCTCCATGGCACCTGTGGCCTGGGAGACCATGCGGCTGGACACTGGTTGTGGAGGAGGAGCAGAGGGGACAGTCTCGGGGTGTGAGGAGCAGGAGCCCAGTCGGGACCCCCAGCTCCGGCTGGGGCAGCGGGGCGGTGGTGAGCGGCCGAGCAGTTACAAGTGTTTATGTGAGCGAGCTGAGGTGGGGTGTCTCGCCCGTGGGGTGCAGTGCGTGTAAGAGGCCCACCAGGCCTCTTCATCGTCTCTCACCCTCACCTGTCCCCACAGGATCCCACTACACAAGTTTACCTCCATCCGTCGGACCCTCTCCCAGATGGGTGGCCCTGTGGAAAACCTGATCGCCAAGCAGCCCATCTCGAAATACTCCCAGGGGGCGCCCGCAGTGGCTGGGGGGCCCGTTCCCGAGATGCTCAGGAACTACATGGACGTGAGTGGGGGCGGGGGCAGCCCACTTCCTGTGAGCTGGGGTGCACTTGTTAACTCCCTGCCTGTGGCTGCGGTTTTGAGCCTCTGCCTATCTGTGGGGTGGGGAGCACTTCCGGACCAGCTCTGCCCTCCCGAGCCCCTTCCCAAGCTGGGGTGCTGTGATCTCAGAGCTGGGCTGTCTAGCCTGCAGGTTACCTGTGTGAGTTGGGGTGATCTATCCTGAGACAGATGTTGGGGCTGCCTGGCCTTGGGTGTGCCTACAGCTCTGTCCCTTGTAAGGACAGCGGGGTAAGGCCCTGACTCAGTTCCTGTGTGGTCAGCACACCTTATTGTTGCCCCCTGAGGGTCAGCACGCACAAAGGTGGGGCACTCAGCTCTGGGGCACGACCTGGCTCGGAGCCCAGGGTCTCTCTGCTGCTCAGTAGCTGGAGGAGGAGGAGGAGGGGGTGTGCGCCAACCCCCAGCCTCAGGAATCCCCTCTCAGCCCCTCCAGCCTTGGCCCCCAAGAGGGGGAGCCGGTGGCGTGCCCTCTGACCCACTTGGTCTGGGCCTGACTGTAACCGGAAACTGGAGGCCCACAGGCATGTGACTGGGCTGGCGGGGGCAGGGGACTCCTAGGCTAACTGACCCACTCCTGGCCCCCAGGACACAGTGGGTAGATCTGCTGACTCACATCCTCAATCTGGACACTTGCTGCTTCATGACTCAGCAGCTGACCTGGCTTCCTGTGTCCAGGACCCCCGTGGGGGTGGGAGGTGGTTGGGTCCATCCAGGGGCCCAGAAAGCCCCAAGTAAGGACCTCCTCGTACCCATTGTCCTCCAAGAGGACCAGCGGTGGAGTGCCCCTTCCCAGCTCCAGGGCCCAGGTGACCACCATAGTGACCTTACCCTGCAGTCAGCCCCAGCTGCTCCGCCCATTTGTGCAGGTGGGGGACAGTGAAAGCAGAGTTGCCCACAACCCTGACCACTAGCCCTCTTCTTGGGAGCCCTCAGGTCGGGCCCTGAGTCTGGGGTAGGAGCCACTTCTGGGGCCTGAGGCAGGCGTGAGCCCAGCAAAGGGAGGGCTGCAGCTTCCTCTGCAGCCCTAGTGCCAGACAGGCTGTTCAGATACCCTAGAGCCCATGGGGAGGGTGTCTGCTGCCAGGGGGTGGGGCCGTGTGACAGCTGGCCCTAGGCACTTCCCCTTCAGCACCATTCATGATGATGCCCAGTGGACGTCTCCCCAACTTTCACCTTGACCGACCCTCCACCCCATCCTTGTCCATTTCCTGTGGGGAGATGGGCCTTGACCAACCACCCCTTCAGCCCTGCGAAGAGATGAATCCCCCTAAGGCCACCCCCAGAATGGACCCCCTTCAGCCCTGTGGAGAGATGAATTTTCCCCAAGGCCACTCTGATCGGCTCACTGACCTCCTGAATGGACCCCCTAGAGTCCTGTGGGAAAACTGGACCCACGCCCACCCCCAGCCTGTCTCCCCCAGTGGAACTCCTCCTAGCCCAGTGGTGAGGCAGGCACTACCCTGCCCTCCCTGCCAACACCTTCCTCCTCCTACGAAGTCCACCCCTTCCCCAGTCCAGTACTATGGGGAGATGGACTCCCCCAGCTGCCCTGACACCTCTTCCCCCATGTCCACCCCCAGGCCCAGTACTACGGGGAGATTGGCATTGGGACCCCTCCACAGTGCTTCACTGTCGTCTTCGACACTGGCTCTTCCAATCTCTGGGTGCCCTCGGTCCACTGCAAACTGCTGGACTTTGCCTGCTGTGAGTTCACCTGTTCCTTGGCTGTGGGGGGTCCTGGACCTGTTCACTCGTGGGACTCGCTTGTGTCAGGCAGCAGACAACAGGAAGGGTCAAAGAAGGGGCTGGCCCAGGTGGGTGAGCTGTTTCCTGTCCCCACGCCCACAGCCTCCTTCCCTCAGGCACCCGGGAGAAGGATGGAGACCTTCCCAGGTGCCCTGGGGGGCCGCCCTGCGCCTGCCACCTCTCACCAGTGGTCACACAGGATCCTCGCCCATGCTGAGGGTGGGGGCTGTGGGGGAGGGGGGCCTGGGGAGAGTATGGGGGAGCTTAGCCGACGCCCCTGTGCTGCCGTGCCTTCTTGCAGGGATGCACCACAGATACAACAGCGACAAGTCGAGCACGTACGTGAAGAACGGCACCGAGTTCGCCATCCACTATGGTTCAGGCAGCCTGTCTGGGTACCTGAGTCAGGACACTGTGCGGGTGAGTTGGCCAGAGGTGCCAGGCCAGGAGGAACAGGGTGCTGGGGCTTCAGAGCTGAGGACCCGTAAGGGTCCCTCGCCCTCCAGGTTGTGGACCTGGGCCTGTTCACCTCAGGCCCTGCTGGGTGGATGCAGGGTAAGACACATGGCCTATGTAGGCTGTGTGCTCGGGCGGCCCCTCTGCGGTGGCCCAGAGCCTGCTGGGGTCCAGCAGTGATGCCCCTGTTAGATCCCTGACCCCTGCCCTGCTGGGCCCCCATCTGCGGGCTTCCTTAGGACACTGTCTTCTCCCTGGGTTGGTACCCAGCACCCCGACCCCCAACCTGGGCGCCTCACCAAACTGCATGTCTGCCACATCTGATCCCGTCTCCCTGTCGCAGCAGCTTCAGCCTGGATTTGTAGGGGAGCTGCTGAATTGAGGTTCAGGCCCTCGGCTCTTGTCACTGAGCCTGGCTCGGGCCAGTCTCGGCCCGAGGATGAGGTGAGGGTGCAGGTGGAGGCCTGCTGTCACTGCGGTGCCCCTGCTCTGCCAGAAGTCTGAGTGCCTGTCGCCGCAGGACACCTGTGTTCTCCAGTCCTTCCTGCCCTGCCCTCTGCCCACCTTACACACCTGTGGTGTGGCGTTAGAGCTGTCCACCTGGCTCTGGACAGAGATGACAGCAAGCCCAGGGCACCAATGTCCAGAGCTCAGTGCTAATCCCAGCATAGCCCACTGACCCCCTCACCCCCATCGTGGACATAGCCTGCCTGTGCTCTGCTGGCTTCTGACCCCTGTGACCTCTGACCCTGTGCTCATAGGTGCCCTGCAATGAGACCCTGAGTGGCGTCAAGGTGAAGCAGCAGACCTTTGGGGAGGCCACCAAGCAGCCAGGCGTCACCTTCATCGCAGCCAAGTTCGATGGCATCCTAGGCATGGCATACCCCCGCATCTCCGTCAACAACGTGGTACCCGTCTTTGACAATGTCATGAAGCAGAAGGCGGTGGAGAAGAATATGTTCTCCTTCTACCTGAACAGGTGAGAGCCAGCGCTATCCTCAGGTGGTGGAGGCCCCCCCACCCCCACCCCGGGCTGTCAGGCCTCGGGACACTGCAACCCAGGCGGTGTCTTTGGTCTTGGGGTGTCCCCAGGGCCAGGCTCAGGTGGAGAGAGGGCCTTTGGAAGAAGGTGGTATCTGACGAGATTGGAGGGTGGGTGGTGTCTTCGTGGGTTCCCTTTGTCTGGCATATGCCGGATCTGGGGGTGCTCACACGTGGCTCCAACCCTTGTCTAGCTCCAGGTGACAGGTGGGTCTGGGACTTGCCAGGAGGTAACCAGGATGGGCCCTGAGGACAGGCGCAGGGCTTGCTGGGAATCAGGCTCGATCCTGGGCAGATACAATTCTGGGATCAGAGAGCCCCCACCTCCCAGAAGCCTGCCATGCCTCAGGCCCCTAGCCTGCACCTCCTCCAGGCCCAATGGTCTGATCCAGTGGTCCTTTGCAGACCTGAGCCAGAGTGGGCACAGGCAGGGCCACTGAGCAGCTAACGGGGTGTGAAAGCTGCCAGCCACCAGGAAGGAAATTGTTTCTTCCACTCTCCACTCTCCCTCCAGACCCTCCCACTCCAGCAGTCTGGGAGTGCTCCTCCTACAGGAAGCCGCCAGGATTGCCCCTCCCGTTCCCACCTCAGAGCCCCCACCCCAGCTGTGACTGTCCAGTCGTCTCACGACTCCTATCCTTCCTCCCTACCAGGGACCCGACAGCCCAGCCTGGGGGCGAGCTCATGCTGGGGGGCATTGATTCCAAGTACTACAAGGGCTCCATGACCTACATCAACGTCACCCGCAAGGCCTACTGGCAGATTCACATGGACAGGTGAGGGGCAAGGGGCCGCCGCGGCACCCACCCACCACTGACCTACCAAGCGGAGTGTGGCTGGGCTGTGCCCTGTCTCAGCCAGGCTCTGGGCTCCCCCAGCCATGTCCTCCTCGGCCCGCGCCCCCAGCCTAGCCCCCACGTTCAGTTTCCCAGGTAATGGAGGTCAGGTGAAAGCTCACTCCTCCCCTACAGGGTGGACGTGGGCAGTGGGCTGACCCTGTGCAAGGGCGGCTGCGAGGCCATCGTGGACACGGGCACCTCCCTGATGGTTGGTCCAGTGGAGGAGGTCACTGAGCTGCAGAGGGCCCTGGGTGCCATTCCGCTCATGCAGGGAGAGGTGAGTGTGGGGTGGGCAGGCACGAGGCTGCCCAGCTGAGGGAGTGCCCACCACGGGGCCACCTCCTCACCATCCCCCGCCCTGTCCCTGCAGTACATGGTCCCTTGTGAGAAGATAAGCAGCCTGCCACCCATCACCCTGACCTTAGGCGGCAAAGGCTACACTCTCTCGGCAGAGGACTACGTGCTTAAGGTGAGGGTGGGAGGTGGGGCCAGGAGGGGCGGGGCCAGGAGGGGCAGAGCAGCTGGGAGGGAGGCGGGGCCTGAGTGGGAGGGACAGCACCTGGAGGCGGGGCCTGAGAGGGAGGCGGGGCCGGGAGGGGCAGAGCAGGTGGGAGGGACAGCACCTGGAGGCGGGGCCAGGAGGAATGGTCACAGAACAGGTGGGCGAGAGGCGGGGCCCAGGAGGGACTGGGGGCGGGGGGAGCGGCAGAGGGCTTGCCGGGCAGAGCTGACCACCAGTCCCACAGGTGTCCCAGGCCGGGAAGACTTTGTGCCTGAGCGGCTTCATGGGCATGGACATCCCCCCACCTGGAGGGCCACTCTGGATCTTGGGTGATGTCTTCATCGGGCGCTACTACACGGTGTTCGACCGCGAAAACAACAGCGTGGGATTCGCCGAGGCCACCAGGGTCTAGTCCAGCGTGGAAGTCATGACACTGAGAAGGAAGTGGAGACCCCATGTGCACTCCTGCCCGGACATCTCCCCGTGCACCCATGCTCACTCTCTCCCTGTCCACTAGCCAGTTCACATATGCCGTTTGGCTGCCTGGCCAGTCACCCTGTCTGAGGTGGGGGCCATGCCCCTGGTCTCTACCTTGCGGGAACTCTATGGACTCGGCAGCCCCTCGCACAGCCCCTGCTGCCATCAGAGGCGTGTACCTGGCAGGACCTCATTCTGAGCACCACTTCTGCAAGAGACCTGGCCCTGCCGCCCCCTCCGCCTAGCACTGCTGGCCCCAGCCAGAGAGGAAGGGACCACTGATCCTGGAGATAGGAAAAGGCTGGTGGGGGGAGTGGAGCCAGCGAGGGTACTGTGGGGTCACTGGGCCTGACCGTCCGGGTCGCACTCCTGGATGGCTGGACACTGTCCTTCCTCCTAGCTGCCTGCCTTGCTGGGACTGTAGACACGTCAATACAGATATTTGGGCCTTTCCGAGCGTTGGCGTGTTCTGGTGGTGGTGGTGGTAATTCTAACTCGGGCTGCAGGCTGACGGCACCGTGGGGGGATCACTGGGAAGCCAGCCAACAACAGGGATGACCAGCAGGATGTGGCTGTGGGGCAGCAGGACGTCCCCAGAGGAGCTAGTGAGAGGCACATCTGTCCCCTGAGGTCCTGTGGTCAGAGGGCCCTGCCAGCAGCCTCAAGAAGGGTCCTGCTCCCCCCCCCCACGAGGTCCAGAGAGAAGCGTCAGGGGTGGGGCTGGCCCCTCCCACTATCAGGATCACAATTGTCCAAAGCAGCCCCTGGGGTCAGGGAGGGTGTCCGGGGAGTGGGAGGGTGTCAGGGAGGGCCAGCAGCACTGGGGTTTTGCTGCATGGATGGGAGTTTGCAAGCATTTTGATGGTGGGAGCCAGGAGTCCCTGAGATTGAGAGAAAACTCCCTTGCTCAGAGCCCATCCCAGCAAATACAAGGGTCAGGGCAAGCTTACTCCTGGTCGGGGGCACTGTCGGCCTGTGGGATGGTGGCCCCATGGTCCCTACAGCGTTGGGCCTTCAGGCCCATCTTTGGGGCGCAGTTTGAGAGCACATGCCCAGAGTCTGCAAGAGGCACCCTGGCACGAGCCCTGTGCTGGCTGCGTCTGAAACCCGAGCGGGGGAGTCACCAGTTCTGCAGGCTGGCAGGGCTCCTGGGCACGCGTGTCATCTAAGAAGCTTGTGCCCCACCAGGCCCTGGACAGAACCTCTCCGCAGGCTGCGGCCGCTCCTTCTGAACACTGCTTCCACTAGGCGTCCCTTCAGCATTGCCCTGGTCCCCACATCTTGCCTGCTCTGAGCTAGGAACTGCCCTGACCTCGAGGGCTGGCCTGCCCTGCCAGTGTCACTGCAGCCAGATCTCATCAGCACGTTTGGTAGATCGACATGGGATCGTATCTCTGTGGACCATGTCCACCTCCGGGGCAGGAGACAAGACCCTCCACATGGCCCTTCATTCTCATTCTGCAGCTCAGCCTAGTGCCCTTCTGGGAGGATGCTGGCCAGGTTCAAATCCAGATCCCAACTGTTTTGCCAGGCCCCTAAGCCTGTTCTCTAGAAGGTGCTGGACACCCAACGGAGGGCAGGCAGAGCCCACTCAGCTGCCCAGCAGGTGGGGCCTTTTACGAGGCTTTTTCACCTGCCCTATTTCCCATCCCCATCACCCCCCTCCCCTGCCCTTTGGCTGATGTCATGTCCTGAGGGCCACTCTGAAGGTCCAGTCCCCACTCCTCTGGGCCTGGGAGCTGGTGCCTGGTGCAGGAGCAGTCTGTCTGTCTTCCCTTTATTAAGGACATTTTCTGAGCGGAACTCAGCCCATGCCTCCCCTGCCTTTACCTGGTGCTATGCATGCCTTGGGGAACCCAGCATAGCCCTGCTGCATGTGGGGAAGGCACCTCCTTGCTAGGGAAGCGGGACTTGGGGGTCAAAGAAGGCAAATGGAATTCTGGCTGCCTGAAATGGTCTTTTCAGGTTTGGGCATCCCCAAGGCCTTTGATCGCATCAGTGGAGCCCTGGCATGCATGGAGGAGACCATGCCAGGATCCTAGGAGGGCATGAGAGCTGGACATGCAAAGGGGGGGCTGTAGAGGGGTGGGGCTGTGAAAAGGACAGGCCACATAAGAGATGGGGAGTGACAAGGGTAGGACAGGTCCAGGGGTTCTGAGAGGACTGACAATGAGTGTGGGGGGAGGCTTTAAGAGATGAGGGGCTCTGAGCAAAGGCCAGGACTTCTAGAGAGGAGAGCCAGCACAGGACCATCAGGCTCCGTCAGCTATCAGAGGAGCCCTGAGGGACGCAGGCCAGCCTGCCTTCCCAAGGGGACAGGCTCAGAGGAGTTCTGTCGTGGTGAGATGGGAAGAGGACTGGCAGGAGAGCACTTGGGTGCCTGAGGTGGGGAACCCTTTGAGGTGTGGGACTTGGAGGGAGGGAAGCAGGAAGGGTGGGCTTGACCCAAGCCAGTGAGCTGGACTAGACTGGATTGGACTGCACTGCATGCAGTTGGAGCTGGTCTGAGCTGAAGGTAGAGCAGTGGGCAGTGCTGGTGACAGTGCCTGTGACAGACCGGCCTAGGAACACCTTGTGAGGGCAGATGGACTGGTCAGGGTGCAAGCCTGGTGGGCAGTAGACAAAGCCTTAGGAAGATGGCAGGGGCTTGCCCCCAGGCCTCAGTAGCGGAGCTTTTAAACAGGACCCTGGGGGGACCGAGCTCTGGCCTTTGTGAGAAAGGTTGTGGGGGGCTCGAGGGAACTGAGGCAGTGCAGTGGCCTGGGGGTGGGGAGGTCAGAGCTGGCTGTTCAGCCAGGTGGGCTGTGGTCAAGAGAAGGGCCTCAGTTCCGGGCTCAAAGGGGCAGCCACAATAGTTAGGGACAGGGCTGTGCGGAGGTGAGGCCTGAGTGGGGACCTGATGAGACGCCCCTGCCACGGAGGAACCAGAGATGGCAAGGAGCCAGGTGGGGGTGAGAGCGAGACAGGAGCCAGACAGGGCTCGGTTTGAGGAGGGATGATGGGGCAGAGGCTCTGGACCTCATAGGTGGATGGGCTGTGGATGAGATCAGGCATGGAAGAGGGACCCAGAGCTGGGCTAGTTTGCAGGCCAGGCAGGGGCTGGGGCAGAGGAGGGGGCACTGGGCCGCCGATGCGCGCTAAGGGCAGTGGGGGCGAGGGCGCGCCCCGGTCTGTGCTCGAGAAGGTCCCGCTTCCGGCCCGGCCCCTCCACCCTCCCTGGCGGAGGAGGCGGGGATCAGCGCCCCGCCCGTGAGTCAGGCTCTGGCTGCACCCCGCGGCCGGCCTGCGCGGTGGAGCAGAGGCGCTTAGCCCGCCGCCGGTCCTCCCCAAGGTTGAGCCCCTACCCTCCGGAGAGGACAGACCGTGGCCACGGTCGACAGAAGGACGCGCCGCCCGAGGCGCAGGGGCCGCCGCCGAGCTGCCACTAGGTGAGTGCGCGCTGCGGCACCAGGCGGCTTCTGGGAGCCGGCCTCCACGGACCAAACCGCGTTGAGGACGCCGTGCGGGGCCGGGGCCGGGGCGCACAGGCTGCGGGGCGTGGGCACTCGCGCGCGCCTTGTTGGAGAAGTGTTTGGTTCACGGTGCCTGTGGGTCTGCTGGTGGTACCGGTGAGTGACTCCGTGAGAGTGTGCGAGCTTGGGGTCCAGCTGGTTCTCTGGGCCAGGGCTGTTGCGGGGGCGCGTGAACTGGGACGCCCGCAGCTGCGCGCTTCTTGGGTGGCAGTGTCTGCGCCCGCTGTCACAGTTGGGAGTTGTTTACCTGACTGTCTGGAACACGCGGGGGCGGGGTTTGGATGGGGTTGAGAGCAGGTGTTGTGCAGGAGGTTTCAGTGGGGGTCAGCAAGCAGGTGACTTGGAGAGCTGTGCAAGGTCTGCAGTTGGTGGCGGGGGTGGTGTCACTGTGTGCCTTGTGTGTGGAGTGCGGGGCTCCCTGGGATGGTGTTTATTGCACCCGCCCTTCAGTCAGCATGGCTGGGCCCCGGCATGGGGGCGCGGCAGTGGGTGAGTGTTTGTGTGCAGATGGCAGTGACGAAGGCGCCCCGATTTTGCCAAGCCTGCTGCAAAGGACTTTGGCATCAGTGGTGGCTGCCCTGTGTGTGTGTGGGGGGGGGGTGGCAGCCTGGCAGCTGGTGGCCTTGGGTACTCCGGGCTCCTCAGGAACTGTAGGAGGGTACAGGGGGTGTGGGGCACACAGGGTCCACCACCCATTAACTCTACCCTCCCTCCAGGCCCAGGGCCCCCGCCCGAGCCCAGCCCTGCTGGGAGCCCCAGCCAGCACCACGGACGGCACCCAGGAAGCCCGAGTCCCCCTGGACGGGGCCTTCTGGATCCCCAGGCCCCCAGCTGGCTCTCCCAAAGGCTGCTTTGCCTGCGTGTCCAAGCCCCCAGCCCTGCAGGCTCCAGCGGCCCCAGGCCCTGAGCCCTTGGCCTCGCCCCCCATGGCGCCCACCCTGTTCCCCATGGAGTCCAAGAGCAGCAAGACAGACAGCAGCGTGCGGGCCACAGGGGCCCCAGCAGCCTGCAAGCATGTGGCTGAGAAGAAGACCATGACCAACCCTGCCACCGTCATCGAGGTCTACCCGGATACCACGGAGGTCAACGACTACTACCTGTGGTCCATCTTCAACTTCGTCTACCTCAACTTCTGCTGCCTTGGCTTCATCGCCCTGGCCTACTCCCTCAAAGTGAGCCCTGCGGGGAGGGGGGCGGGGCCCAAAGCAGCAGCTGAGGGGCCTGTGGGGATGGAGTGCCAACCTGGACGGAGTGCCAGGCACAGTCAGCCTGCTGATGGAGCCAAAGCCTGGCATCCCTCTCTGGGGATCTTCAGGGGTGGCAATGGGCACCGAGGCAGCCCAGCCAGGGACTTCGTGGGGGCCAAGCCAACCTAGGTGGGAGTCCCAGCTAGGGTCCTCGGTCACACTCCACTTCTAGTTAGCTGCCCTGACACCCAGGGGACCCAGGGTAAGGGGCTGTGAACATAACACCTTCCCCCCAGGACACAGGACACAGTCCTCCAACTCAGGGAAAAGTGGAGGAATGACCAAAGCTTGCTGAGAGGAGTCTGGGAGATCCCTTCCCAGGGTGTCTGATCATCAGGATGGGGCCCCATCGGGCTGGGGTCCTGTCAAGGTGGGGGGGCCCTGTCGGGGTGGGGGGCCCATCGGGGTCGGGGGGGCTCGCCTGGGTCGGGGGCCCGCTGGGGTGGGGGCCCGTCGGGGTGGGGGGCCCATCAGAGTGGGGAGCAGTGCTTGGCTTGGTACCCTCTGTCACGCCAGGGAGCTTGTCTCACGTAGGACCACATCATCTCTTTCCTTTGAGCACAATTCCAGTATCCAGGGCTGGATGCATTTCCCTGATTGCTGTGGGGGTGGGGGCATGGAGAGAGGAGGGGCCTCAGAGAGAGGCTCAGCTGAGCCCTGCCCCCGCCAGCCACCTGGCTTCCTGTCCTCATCCTGGCTCTTCCTCTGTCACTGTCCCTGTCACTCGGTGCTCAGGCTCCAGCCCCATGCCGTAGTCTTGGCCGTGGGCTCCGCTGCTGGAGGTGTGTGTGTGTGTGCACACACGTATGTGCACACACGTATGTGCATGCTGAGGATGCGGACCAGAAGCGGGCCCTTGATGTGGGGACAGCCTGGTCTGCAGCTTCTGGGCTGTGTGACCAGGGGACATGACGGCCGGGGCAATGGACGGCACAGCTGGCTGGGCATGGCTGCCCTTGTGCCCTCACTGTGGCCTGCAGACAAGGGTCCGGCAGAGTGGCTGTGTGCAGACACTGTCCCCTCCTCTCCTTGGCTCTGGCTGTGACAGCCGGCTGCTGAGGGGAGGCCCATCTGGCAGGGTTGTAGGTAGGTCATTGACTCCCAAATGGCGCATGGTCAGTGTTGTGTGGTGTGAAGAGTGAGGGCATCCTGGGCGGAGAAGGGATCACCTCCTAGCCCAGGCCAGGGCTGCCCCTGGTGTCCTTCCTGGGGTTTGCGTGGACGGGGCAGATGGACAGAGGATCAGCAAGAATGGCTGACTCCTGCTCCTTGACCCGGGACCACCCACCTGCCTCCCATGCTGTCTGGGCGGGTCTGCTGGCCGTGCTGCCATCTGCAGCCAGCTGTGGGCACTTCCAAGGGCACCAGGCAGACTAAGGGTCAGAAGATATTGGCTGCCACTCCAACTCAGTCTCTTAAGAGTGCTTGTCCCCCACCCCATCCCCGTCTCCCCCAGGCCCTGCTCCTTTATCTGTTCCTGAAACAAAGCTGCATTCACTGAAGTCAGCACACGTGTCCCCAGCAGAGGCTGGAAGCCAGTGGACAACAACTGGACGCTGTGTCCCTGCTGGCCTCCCACCCACCCATCGAGCCATTGGTTCCACACTGTACACCCTCAAGGCCCACTGGGCTGTGTGGGGTTTCTGGAAGGCAGATGGGAGCGCTGCTCTGCATGCCTGTGCTTGGGAGGCAGAACCCAAAGGCCAGTCCTCGTTCACTGCAGCCACCCGAAGCTGGCATCTAACCGCAGGGGCCACGGCTCCAGCCTTTGCCTGGACAGAGTCCAAGCTCCTTAAGTGGCTTTCAGGGCCCTTTGAAATCTGCCTTCACCTCTTGTCCCGTCCTCAGCCCCCGAACCCTGGCAGCTCACACCTTGTGGTCATGGTGCAGTGTGTGCACTGACCTGCAGTGACTGTCCTCTGGGCCTGCAGGCCTTCCAAGGAGACCAGGTATTCCCTGTGAGGCATCCACCAAACGTGCAGGCTCAGTCCGCACTGATCCCCCAGGCTGAGTCCACACTGATCATCCAGGCTGAGTCCCCAGTGCCCCGGAGACCCTCCTGCACAGGAGAGAGACCTCCCGATGCTGGCCCTGCTGCTCACACCATCACACTCTCCTTTCTCGGTAGGAGCAGGGCTGACACAAGTAGGGGCTCAGAGGCTGTTGGCCAGGTGTTTGGCTGAGTGGACGGAGGACCCATGGCAAGATGGACCCGTGCAGGATGCTTCCCTCCCTGTTAAGGCAGAAGGATGAGCTCTTCTGGAGGGGCCAGCCTTTCCCCGGCTAAGGATGGACAAAGGACAAGTGTCGCAGTGAGAGTGGACAGTCTAAGGGGGGTGACAGGGTCCCCTAGTCTCTATGAGAGCAGTAGACTGTAGTCCTGGGAAGATAGGCTGAGACCATGTAGGAAAGATTTGGAAACTCACTGTGAGAGGCTGCAGTGTTCGGGAAGCTGGGATCTGCAGCCCTTGTGGAGAGAGAAGAGCCTAGCGGGCAGGAGGAGGCAGACACTGGTCCCAGGTCCAGGGGGAGAGCACGTGACTGCAGGGAGGTCGGGGTGGTGGGCAGTACAGAGGAGTAGATGTCCAGGGTATGGCAGCTGCTTGATAGGGGCGCAGAGGCTGCTGGCACATGGTGACAGCGAGGTCAGGAGGACGCTGGGTTTTGAACATACGTGTTTGACTTTTTCCTTCTATTCTAAACATCAACACCATCTACCCACTCACCCATCCAACCCTCCATGCCCTCGTCCGCCCATCTTTCTACCTGTCTTCCTTCTCTCCCTCCCCCTGTCATCGCCACTGCCCGTCAGTCCTCTCCTCCCCTAACCCTTCTATTCACCTATAAATCCCTCCACCGCTCACTCACACGTCCTCCCTCACCTCTCACCTACCCACCCATTTCCTTCAGCCCCTCTAGACAGCTAGCCAACCCTTCATACATCCATGCTGATACATCCTATCCCCCCACCTCGTACACTGAGTCACTAAACTAACCCCACTTTCTCTGCAGTCTCCCCCATTTTACCCATCTGCCCTACCTGTGAATACACTCAGTCCTCTATTTCCCCACCTTCTGACCTGTCCCTCTAGTTAGCCCTCAAGCCATCTATCACCTCTCTTCTACTTCATTTCTGCCTGAGCTCGCTATCTATTCACCATATACTTTCTTTCATTCTTATTTTCCATCATTATGCTTTTACACTTCAACTCATCCTATTCATTTATATCATTTTCCAGTATCATTGTTTACATTTTCTTTCTCTCCAAAGACCAACTGAACTCATCCATCCATTTATTTATCCATGCATCAATTTGTTTACATTATTCTTTTCCTGCCCTTTATTCCTTTATCATTCCACCCTAAGTGTCATGTTCCTGGAAAGGCAGGTTAAGGCCACAGAGGATAGGATTTGGAAAGAAAACATTATGAACAATTTCGATGTTTCTATTGTTTTCAATCTGTATGCAGAACAGACCATTCTGGGAAGCAGGCCTTTTTGAGGAGGAATGTGGCATCAGGACTGGAGGAAGACTCATCAACAACCTAAGTTATGCAGACGACACAACCTTGCTTGCTGAAACTGAAGAGGACCTGAAGTGCTTGCTGCAGAAGGTCAAGGACGTAGTCTTTAATATTAATTGAAGCTTCTCACTAAGAAGACGAAGATTCTCACCACTGGGCCCACTGGCAGCACCATGATGGATGGAGAAGAAGATTGAGTTTAACAATTACAGCTTGCTCAGATCCAAAATCAACATTCTTAACACCAGCAGTCAGAAAATCAAAAGACAATTTGCACTGGGAAAATCTGCTGTTATGGACTTCTCCACAGTGTTGAAGAGCAACAGTGTCAGTGTAGATACAAAGGTGTGCCTAATCCAGGCCACGGTCTTCCCAATTACTTGTTATGCTTCAGAGAGTTGGACAATGACTAAGGATGATAGAAGAAGAATAGATGCCTTCGAGTTGTGGTGCTTGAGAACAGTCTTGAACATACCACTGACTGTCAAGAAAACAAATAGGCCTGTCTTGGAGAGGGTGAAACCAAGTCTCTCCTTGGGGGCTAGGATTTTGAAACTCTGCCTCACTTACTTTGGGCCTGTGGTGAGGAGAAATTGGTCCTTGGAGAAGGACCTCATGCTTGGAAGGGTGGAGTGACAGCACAGGAGAGGAAGACCCCGGATGAGATGGGTTGATAGAGGAACTGGGGCGATAAGAGGTTGGTGTGTTGGGATCAATGATCCTGGCTCAGGACAGGGCAGGGTTCAGAGCTGTTGTCCATAGGGTCATTATAGGTCACAGGTGACTCGACAGCACACACCAACATTGTCAGGGATCCGTGCCATCCGCATCATCTCGGATGCACGTGCGCCCCTTAGCACAGGGTAGGATAGGATGTGATTCGGGTCTGTTGTTCATAGGGTTGCTCTGAGTCATACTGGACTTGATAACAATAACAACCATTTTAAGGGATTAGTTTAGAGAAGGAACTAGTTTAGACAGTAATGCTAATTAGCAAATTACCATAAGCATATTGGCAGCTTACATTATGATTATTTCTCACTTCCTCTGGCCGTTCCTCCCTTCATCAGTTCTAGCCGTTCGTTTGTTCGCCTCCTGTGATCTGGGCTCACTCAGGCCTCCACAGCGTCACGCTGGCACCTTCGGCACCTTCGCTGTCAGCCTGGTGGCCTGTCGTCCCTCCTTTCTGGGCTCCTCCCCTCACCGTTCTTAAACCAGCTACTCCAGGTCTCTCTTCCCCCACATCTGTCACCCTCACCTCGGTCTCTAACCATGTCCCTCATTTTATGTCTCATTCCCCCCTCAGCCGTCCTCTCCTTTACTTTTCCATGTTGTTGTGGGTGTGTACTGTTCAGTGGGAACCGGCCATGACGACCCTCCGGTGGGTTTTCAGAGCCGGT